TATTGGCTGAAAGACTCGTGTAAAGTTTGTCATCAGTCATTGGTGGGTTTCGATCCGTCTATTGTTAGTCAAATTGGTCGGTTTTTGGTCCGTCTATTGCTAGTCACATTAAGTCGGTCTGTTGGAAGTCCGTTTGTCGGTTTCGTTTCCGTCATGGATAAGTCGTTTGTAAGGCGCCGATAGTTGTTGACATTTGTTAAGAGGCCGGGCGTTTGTTCTAGGTTAGTGTACCAGCTTTCCAGAGTCAGTCGTTGAAAATAGTTTGTACTGTAAGTTAAGCACTGCGCAGACAGTTAACGGAGGTTTTGAACTGTTTTTAAAATTTAGGCGAATTCGTTAGCGGTTATAGGCTAAATAAGAGGTTGTGCTTTACCTGCTTCATATAATTATGCAAGGAACTCAATAATTAACCAGCGACTCATTAAACTGAAAATGGGATAAATTTTGCCGCCGAAACGTGCTATTTAAAAGGTGTATGTCTGTCCTATTTCGAGAGAACATACCTGGGAAATTTTCGCGCTACGGCCCGCTTATTTGTAAAGGGGGGGGGGGGGTAGCCTGATATTTCTTTCAAAGTTTGTGATTTGCGCGCTGGCAGGAAGACGGCAGGAAGGTAAAGAACAAAGAAACTGTTCCCCTGAGACTGTCACGTGATCTGAAATGGGAAAACAAACCGTGCAAGCTAAAAGGATCTATTCGTCAAATCTGAAGGAAAAACCACTTCGCTCGTGCTTGACCGTCTTTAAAGTAATCAGTTAGGAGATTTAAAACATCAGTCTTTATGCAAACTACGCGCTTTGTCGTTTATTTGAGAGTTTTTTGAGCTTTCATAAATATCTGAAATCGTGACCAACCGATGTGGTGAACTCTCTAGATAACGACAGTTTGTACTCTTCCTCTCTTGCTTCGTTTGAAAGAAAGCTTAGGAAATCCAGGTTATGTTTAGCAATTATCAAATCTGTAAAAAGCACTGTAATGAGCGAGGGAAATTAATAGTACAAGCCTCCATAGCTCCTCGTCAGGCTTCCTTTCCATTTCTTATTTCTGCTTCTCTGACTTGTGTGTGTGCGGTGAACAAAAATGACTTGATTTGACTTAATGAACATACCAACGTTTTTGCAGTCATCAGAAACCTCTAAACACAAAGACAGCTGTAAATAAGGTTGCTTTAAAATTATGGGCAAAAATTGTGGGAATGACAAATGGCCGAAATCGCACCAAAATGATTCTTTATTTGTTTGAAAACACTCTAAAAGTTCTTTTCAAGCTTCGTCTACATTTTTTGAAGCCGGAGCACTTCAACTTTGCTCATTCACTGTTTGACAAGAGATGGAAAAAATAACCAGGTTGTTTGACACAATTTACTGTACGCTACGGATAGCAACCAACTTTGGTCATCAAAACTTGTCTTCCACGTTACATTACAGCGAGCCTTCGTAGCTAATTCTTCGACACAACTGATAGCGATTCTCATTCACTGAGCTTATTTTGGTTCGTTTTCAACGGCAACGAAAGCTTTTGAAATCACAACAGGCCTGCGACGATAAACCTCAATGAACTCAAAACGATTATACACCCGAGTCTGGAAGTTGGTCAAGATACTGCTCGACTTCTTCGTGGCCAAACTTCTTTGCACACTTAGCTGCTGTAAGTCCTTGCTTGTTGACAGTGAACAAATCCGCTCCATTATCCACCAGTAGCCGAACAACATCCAGATGGCCTGAGCCCGCAGACACTGTGAGCGGTGTGTCCCCTCTGACGTCAAGCGCATTGACATCACTCCCTGCAAAGATTAATTTGCGCACAATTCTGACCTCTCCGAATGCAGCGGCTGTGTGGAGAGCAATGCTGCCTTCAGAGTCTCTCAAGTTGACGTTTGCTCCGTGTTTAAGTAACAGGAAGATCATGCTGTACTCGTTATCTACTGAACTTAACGAATCACAGAAAGCCGCGGCAAGGTGAAGGGGAGTGCTGCCTTCATTGTCCCTAGCATCCACATCGGCTCCGTGTTCCAGAAGATTGCGAGCAGCCCTTGTGCGATCAAAAACGGTGCAGAGATGAAGTGGCGTACACCCTTTGTTGTCTCTTGCCTCGAGATCACTGAAAACGAAATTTCAAGGAAATCAGGAACGGACGAGGAAAAAACAGGCTCTAGATACTCCGAGTCGATTCATTTGTACCATACGCGTAAGCTCTGTCGCATTTGTATGGGGCGCCGTTTGTAAATTTNCATTTGTTCGTGCAACGTTTCTATCGTTTTTGAGCTTGAAAACAAATCAACCTTCAGGCAAATACGCGCGCAGTCTGCAAATAATCCGCCCTCTAGAGTGCCTCGATAACAGCTGTAATAACTGACCACTATTCGCCCTGATAGGCAGAATCCTCTAAGCAACAAAACAGAGGGAAACTACTGCATAGTAAATATCAAGCCAATGATTCAGTTGCACTACAAGAATGAGACACTAGGACACCATCACCATTCCAAGACACGTTTGCTGTGTGAGTACGGCTATTTTCCCTTGGGGTTGCAATAGGCCCTTTGCACGATCCAGTCACATGGTACAAAATCACACATGCTGGTGAGCAAGTTCCGCAGTGGGACTTCCAAAACAAAGGCAGGTCCAGGTGGACTGGTACGAGTTGCATTGTTTTGGAAGTCCCACTGTGCAACTTGCTCACCTGTATGTGTGATTTTGTACCATGTGACTGGATCGTGCAAAGGGCCTATTAGAGCACTAAAAAATCGGTATGAACTGGCCTATATTTTCTTAATCATTAAATTTATGATGCCAATTTCCTGGAAGTTCACAGCTAACCCTCAAGTAATGCAAATGATATATCTTCGTAAAAGAAGAGATTTTCTTAACAATTTAACTATAAAACACTGCGACAATATAGGAAAACCTAAAACCATTTTGGTTTAAACGCAACGATGACTTTTCGACGTTCGCTTAACGTCACTATCAAGTCAAATGAGTGAATAAAATGGGCACAAATTTAAATATAAACTAAGAATTCCTAGGGACACGAATGCAAAGGAAACAATGATAAAAAATTGATAAAAAATTCTAAAAAGTCCTAAAATATAAAATATTTGCACGCAAAGAGTCGCGTAAAAAGTTTGGCACGAATCGAGTCTTTCTGTGTATTTAACACAAGGCTTAATTCCTAAATGAAAAGTATTTCAAACACTAAACAATAATCAAACTACGATCTGCATTTCTTCAAAATAGAAAATTGTTTGTCTTCTAAAGCAGACTTCGTTAGCCTATGCTCCTCTGTGTGCCTGCCGATCGCCGGGTATTTGTGTTCGCCGATGCGTTGGTGTAAATGTCGGGTTGTGTACCCGACATAATCTGCGTCGCACAGATTACATTGAAATTTGTAAACCACGCATTGATTACTAACAATAGGGGGCTTCTTCTCTTTCGGAGCGAGAACTTGGCCAATCTTCTTGCTCTGGAAGACAGGTTTAATGTGGACACTAATGTTGGCGCTCAGATTCTGCATTTGTCTTTTGACTGAATTAGCCGATTGCTGATCTTTACGGTGGTTCGATACAGTTTTTTCTGGACCATAGCTAGCATTTTCAATTGGCGTTTTCCCAACCTTCCCTTAATCTGATCGGTGTGAAAATTACACCAGTTTTTGGAAAAGGATTGAAGTTTGGTTGAATATGTTTTTTAAAGGTAATCGATATTTCCATGGAAACGATAAACCAAATAAATGACACCAAAATGTGGCTTTTGTTTGTGTCTTTTGGAGAAATTTCATTGAAATAGTGTTCTCCTTTCAGTCCATTTAATTTTATTAACAAAAAGCATGGTTTGAAATGTTTTCGCGATTTATTCGAAATCAAACATACAGAATTTTTGTTATTCTTGCATATTCCCCTTGCCATGCATCGTAATTTCAGAAATTGGCATCAGCTTTTCTATAGCAGATCTGGTTCGTACAAAATACATGCCTAACCGATTTTCAGTTATTTGGTTTATCGTTTCCATGGAAATATCGATTACCTTAAAAACATATTCAACCAAACTTCAATCCTTTTCCAAAAACTGGTGTAATTTTCACATCGATCGGATTAAGGGAAGGTTGGGAAAACGCCAATTGAAAATGCTAGGTATGGTCCAGAAAAAACTGTATCGAACCACCTTAAATGGTAGTGGAATCATGATAGAAGCGGTGTCGTCACTTGTATTATTGGGTGCGTCGATATTGTCGATATTATGCAGAAATGTGTTGATAGATGAATTGATCAAATTGATTGGATAGTCTAAGTTAAGGAAAATAGGGCGGAGCTTGTTGCACTCATCAGAAAACGCAGCAGGAGTAGATGACAGGTGATGAGCGCGATGAATCATAGTAGTGATCAAACAGCCTCTGTAACGTTTGTCAACATGGCTGTGGTAATGAAAAAGTAAACCAGTATTCGTAGACTTCCTGTGGACTGATGTTTCGAGCCTCTTACCTCTTTTGGTGATGTTCATGCCCACAAAAGAAATGGTGTTTTGTTCTGCTAACTCCATGGTGAATTTCAAATTGTCATGGCAAGAGTTCAATTTTTCATCCACGTGTCATCCACGTATCGCTTACAGAAAGGGAGCTTGTTTTTCTCTTCCAGTTTTTCTTCTACAGCGCGGATGGTTGAGCAATTGGAGCGAATTTCATCATGGATGTTGCGAAGTTCTTCTTGTATGGTCTTGAGCTGGGCCAACTTTGATCTCAACTCTTCCTTCACAACTTGTTTCTGAAAATCGTTGAAGGATTTCTTCCATTTTTGTGACTTGGTTTCATCCACCTTCGCAAAGGTCGGAGTAAGGTTGAAATTCTGGCAGAGGCGTAGAAATTCGATTACTCCCTCACATTTTGTGAAGGGAATACTGCATTTTTCAAGTCGTCTGAAAAGGTGCAGTTGATTATCGCGTTTTAAAATTCGTAAAAGAAGAGAATTTCTACGCCTCTGCCATTCAACCTTACTCCGACCTTTGCGAAAGTGGATGAAACCAAGTCACAAAAATAGAAGAAATCTTCCAACGATTTTCAGAAACAAGTTGTGAAGGAAGAGTTGAGATCAAAGTTGGCCCATCTCAAGACCATACAAGAAGAACTTCGCAATATCCATGATGAAATCCGCTCCAATTGCTCAACCATCCGCCGTGTTGCCATAATACGAATATTGTCATCACTACAAAAGAGTCAGTCTCAATCCTTAACGAAAACTCATGCTCAAAAGTTAACCCGCTTGATCTACAAGAAGGTAGACGTCGACAAACACATCAACAACCTATCGTCCTACCATTAATCTTTCTTCGAGAAACTTGTTCTTTGCAGAGGACTACAATTTGCAATACCTCAGCAAACATCTCCTCGAGATATTCAAGGAAGCTTCAAAAAGGCCTATTGGAAACTGGAAGGGCTGCTTCTATCGGACTCCAAGAAAGACCTTGCCTGTGCCACCTTGAGATCCATTGCTTTGAATTATATCGCGAGACGTGGCCCTACACCAGCTAAAGCTTTATTACAACCCATCAACAACCTCAAACGCCGCCATGACACAGTTATCACCAAACCTGACAAAGGTTCTGGGGTCGTGGTGATGGATAAGACTGAGTATCAACGGTTGTTATGTGACGCTTCTGTTCGTGATTCCACCAAGTTTCCTCGATGCAACATTGAACGTCCTAAAACGCGTGGGAGACCACCAAACCACTACCAGCCCTTGCTAGAAAAGGAGAATGAGCTATATACCAAGGTACGCAAACATCTTACCTAAATCACTTGCCGACACTCTCTGTCCTAAAGGCTCAAGACTTGCACACTCGTATGGGTTACCTAAGACCCACAAGCCTGAACTGTCTATGAGACCAATATTATCTGCGACTGGAACATACAACTATCCGCTTGCAAAATGGCTGGAAGAGAAATTAAAGCCTCTGTCAACCAATGCCTGCGCCATCAGCGATATCTTTCAATTCTCTGAAGATATCAAAAACATACCTGTTGAAACTGACCACATACTGGTATCATATGACGTAACCGCTCTGTTTACCAACGTTCCTGCTCACGAAACCATCACAATACTGGTTGAGAAAGCTTTCAAAGAAAACTGGTTCAATGACACCTACAATCTAAACTTCACCAAAGACCAACTTGCGGATCTGCTCAAGCTGGCAACTACAAACCAACTTTTCCAACTTAATGGTGCGCTTTACGAGCAAGTGGAGGGCGTGGCGATGGGTTCTCCCCTTGGATCATTACTAGCCAATACATTCATGTGCTCTATAGTAGGAAAACTGGAAGAGAAAAACGAGCTCCCTTCTTTCTATAAGCTGGCCCGACGTCAACGAAGCCAACACTTTTCTCGGAAAATTGAACTCTTGTCATGACAATTTGAAATTCACCATGGAGGCAGCAGAACAAAACACCATCTCTTTTGTGGGCATGAATATCACCAACAGAGGTAAGAGGCTCGAAACATCAGTCCACAGGAAGTGTACGAATACTGGTTTACTTTTTCATTACCACAGTCATGTTGACAAACGTTACAGAGGCTGTTTGCTCACTACTATCATTCATCGCGTTCGTTGCCTGTCATCTACTCCTGCTGCGTTTTCTGATGAGTGCAACAAGCTCCGCTCTATTTTCCTTAACTTAGACTATCCAATCAATTTGATCAATTCATCTATCAACAAATTTCTGCATAATATCGACAACATCGACGCACCCAATAATGCAAGTGACGACACCACTTCTATCATGATTCCACTACCATTTAAAGATCAGCAATCGGCTAATTCAGTCAAAAGACAAATGCAGAATCTGAGCGCCAACATTGGCGCCCACATTAAACCTGTCTTCCAGAGCAAGAAGATTGGCCAAGTTCTCGCTCCGAAAGAGAAGAAGCCCCCTATTGTTAGTAATCAATGCGTGGTTTACAAATTTCAATGTAATCTGTGCGACGCAGATTATGTCGGGTACACAACCCGACATTTACACCAACGCATCGGCGAACACAAATACCCGGCGATCGGCAGGCACACAGAGGAGCATAGGCTAACGAAGTCTGCTTTAGAAGACAAACAATTTTCTATTTT